AATAGCTAATTGTCCAACTCAACAGCTTAATCCTGCTTCCTCCCTATAACCTTTGATCCCATTTGCCCCAAGTGCTACATCTAGCTGCCTCTTGAATACGTTCAATGTTTTGGCATCAACTACTTTCTGTGGTAGTGAATTCCGCAGACTTACCACTCTTTGGGTGAAGAAATATCTCCTCATCTCCATCCTAAATGGTCTACCCCAAATCCTCAGACTGTGACCCCCGGCTCTGGACACACCCACCATCGAGAACATCCTCCCTATGTCTACCCTGTATAGTCCTGTTAGAATTTTACAAATCTCTATCAGATCACTCCTCATTCATCTGAACTCTAGCGAAAACAATCCCAAACTAGTCAATCTCTTCTCATACGTCAATCCTGCCATCCCCAGAATCAGCCTGGTCAACCTTCGCTGCACTCCCTCGAGAACAACAGCATCTTTCCTCACAAAAGGAGACCAAAACTGCACACAATATTCTAGGTGTGGCCTCACCAAGGCCCTATATAACTGCAACAACACATCCCTGCTCCTGCACTCGAAACCTCTCGCAATGAAGGCCAACATACCTTTTGCGTTCTTTACCGCCTGCTGCACCTGCATGCTTACCTTCAGCGACTAGTGCACAAGGACACCCAGGTCTTACTGCAGACTCCCCTCTCCCAATTTACAGCCATTCAGGTAGTCATCTACCCACTTGTTTTTTGCTTCCAAAGTGAATAACCTCAACATTTATCCAAATTATACTGCATCTGCCATTGATCTGCCCACTCTCCCAACCTGTCCAGAACATGCTGAAGGATCTCTGCATCCTCGTTACAGTTCACCCTCCCACCCAACTTGCAATTATCTGCAAACTTAGAGATGCTACATTTTGTTCCCTCATCCAAATCATTAATATATATTGTAAATAGCTGGGGTCCCAGCATCGATCGCTGTGGCATCCCACTAGTTACTGCCTGCCAATTTGAAAAGGATCCATTAATTCCTACTCTTTGCTTCCCCTCTGCCAAACAGTTTTGTATCCATCTCAATACACTTCCCCAATCCCATGCGCTTTAATCTTGCACAATAATTTCTTGTATGGAACTTTGTCAAATGCTTTCTGAAAGTCCAAATTTTGGGGAGTGAGTTTTACAGAGAGAGGGAGTGGTACGTAAGGTTTGGAAGGGTTGGGACTGGGCAGTGAAGTTTAGAGGAATCGGAAGGGGGAGTGAGGTTTTCAAGGATAGGGAGTGGGGAGTGAACATTACAGGGATAGGAAGCGGGGAATGACGTTTGCAGAATTTGGTAGTGGGGAGTAAGGTTTACACGGATAGGGAGTTGGGTATGGGGTTTACCAGGATAGGGAGTGGGGAGTGAGGTTCACAGTGATACGGAGTGGGGAGTGAGGTTTACAGGTACAAGGAGTTGGGAGTGAGGTTTGCAGAGGTAGGCAGTGAGGTTTACAATGATGAGAAATGGGGATTGATCACAGGGATGGGGAGAAGGGAGTGATAAGCAAAGGGATAGGGAGTGGGGAGTGATGTTCACACGGATAGGGAGTGGGAAGCGATGTTCACAGGGATGGGGTGTGGGGAATGATAAGCATAGGGAGTAGGGAGTGACGTACACAGGGATAGATCATGGGGAGTGAGGTTCACAGCGATGGGGCGTGGGGAATGATGATTACAGATATAGGGATTGGGGAATGATGTTTACAGGGATAGTGAGTGAGGTTTGCAGGAGTAGGCATTGGGGAGTAAGGAACAGATGGATTGGGAGTGGGGTGAGGGTTTACAGGATAGGGAACAGAGAGGGAGGTTTACAGGGATTGGGAGAGGAATGAGAATTACAGGATAGGGAGTGGGGAGTGACATTTACAGTGGGATTATTTTGGAGATTTATAGAGGGCTATGGGGAGAATGCTGGGCAGTGGGATTAGATTGCAGATTGATACAGGGCTATATGGAGAGATGGGGGAAGTTGTGGGATTAGTTTGTGGATCAATATGGGACAGTGTGAGTATTGGGATTTTGGAACTGATACAGGGCTTGAGAGAGAGCAGGGTAGCGAGATTTGATTAGGCTTGATACAGGGTGAAAGTGGGACAGTGGGATGAGATTCATGGTTGATAAAGAGTTATGGGGAGGGAGAGAGGGAGTGAGGTTAGTTTGCAGTTTGACACAACGCTAACCCCTTCTGATCTACATTGCACACTGAGTGACTGTACACCCTCTCGCTACTCCTGCAATCACAGCTCCCTCATAACATTTTAAAAATAGTTAAATGTGCTCTTGCAATGCCAAGGTATACAAGGCTGTGGATCAAGTGCTGGAAAATTGGATTAGAATAGTTTGGGCACTGCTGGAGAAAAAATGTTGATAGTTCAGATTATGCGATTGGAATGTGAGAATGGCAGAACAATGGTGTGTCTCCTGGCAGGTTTGGAAGGACAGACAGTTCCACTGGATGGGGGGGAAGGGAGAGAGAACATGACAACAGAATGTAACAGGCTAAAAGAAAGGGAAGAAATGAGAGTTCATTCACAATTTGTAGGCATTGAACTCAATATTAAGTTCAGAATGCTGTAAAAATGTGTTAAAATGACTGGCTACAGGAAGGTCGGGGTCAAACTTGCCCACGCACCGGGAGTGTTCCGCAAAACCCGTATCCAGTCATTTTAACACAGTGTCCTGCTCGCATGTGGACATGTCTGTCCTCGGCATACTGCAGTGTTCCAGTTAATCACAGCCAACCTGGAGGAACAACACCTCATCCTTAGACTAGGCGCTTTACAGCCTTCTGGAATTAATATTGAGTTCAATACCTACAAATTGTGAATGAACTCTCATTTCTTCCCTTTCTTTTAGCCTGTTACATTCTGTTTTCATGTCCTCTCTCCCCTCCCCCCATCCCAGTGCGACTGTGTGTCTTTTCAAATCTGGCAGGAGACACGCAGACCATTGTTCTACCATTCTCACATTCCGATCACATAATCTGAACTGTTAACCTTTTTTCTCCGCCTCCCCCAAATGCGATAGGGTTAGGGTTCACTTCAGCTCTGGTGAAGGTCGTCAAGACTCGAAACGTTAGCTTGCTCTCTCTCCCAGTGATCTGCTTGTCACCTCCAGCATTTAGTGTTTTCAGTATAGATTCCAGCATCCGCAGCAATTTTATCCCACGTTTAGAATAGTTAGGGGCTTGGTTTGACCGGCGCAGATTCGAAGTACCATTTTCTGTGCCTTCGATCTCTATGATTGTTAGGGGGGGGGGAAAGCCAAGTGGGAAAGAGAGAGAGAGAGAGAGAGTAGTTAAGAGTACGAAAGAGGACATAGAGAGAGCTGCAGAAGGAGTGGGAGAAATATACAAAGACAGGGAGAGGGAGAGTTGGAGGAGAAAGCGCGTAAAAGACAAAGTGAGAGAGAGGGATAAAAATAGAGAGAGAGCGAGAGTGAGATTGCTAAAATCACGTTTGATCAGTGAGTCTGACTGAATCACTCATGACTACCTTCAGGATATCTCCTGAAATTCACAATCCTGGCAGAGATACTGGTCAGTCCCCAAGTGACACATCACATCCCCCTTTCCTCGCCACACACAAAAAAATGTCTCTCACACGCACAAACGAAAAATCCACAAAAAGCAAGCACACATTCACGAAGAAACAAAAACCGAAAGAACTGCGGACGCTGTAAATCCGGAACAAAAACTGGAAAAGCTCAGCAGGTTTGGCAGTATCTGTGAAGGATGCACAGCTCTGAGAGGGGGGGGGGGTCACCGGACCCGAAAAGTTAACTCCTTTTTCTTCCCCCCTTCACATATGCTGACAGACCTGCTGAGCTTTTCCAGCAGTTTTGTTCTTGTTCACAAATAAACAGACTCACACACGTTCACGCAAAGACACAGACTGACATACACGCACAGGCAACCCCACACACACAGTGTGAAAGATGTGGATGCGGGTGGTTGGTGGGGGAGAAAAGAAGGTGGGGGAAAAAGGGAAAAAGATGGTAGGTTACAAAATACAAACAAAAGGGCTGCCCATCCCACCACACCTGCCTGGGGCCTAGATGACTTCTCAGGAATGTTGTGAATGCCAAATAAACATCGCCCAAAACATTAACAAAATAAAAGTTTTATTGTCGATCCAATAAATATTAACAACCAGAGTTCAACATTTAATAAGTTAAAGGGTAGTGGTAATGTGTACAGACGGCTTTGTTCAAGGGCCAGCAAACGGAAATAAAACGCTGGTCAATGTTTGGTTAGTTTACCCCCCCCCCCCTCATTGGGCATGCTCTCACATGTTAGGACTGGCTGATTGACCACAGGGTGCATCATTTCACCCACAAGATCCCAAACATGCAGCACCAGGCTCGGGATGATGCTTGGGCCTTGCCTACTCAGTGGGTCGTTGGGGATGACGGCAAGGGGCAATATCAATCCCAACTCCGGCCCTCCATCTGTGTCCTCCACGTCCCCTTCCCGTCTCGGTAACCCCCTCCAGTCCCGGCATCCCCTCCCTCTCTGGTTAACTCCCTCCATCCCTTCCCTTCCCTTTCTGGGTAACACCCTCCAGTCCCTGCATCTCCTCCCTTTCTGGGTCACCCCTTCCTTCCAAGACCTCTGCATTCCTCCGAATCTATCCTCCTGGATCATACCCTGATTCCCATAGCTCCACCCCGGAGGAGGTGTGTTCTTCCGCAGGGGCGGGGGTTGGAACCGGGGAATATTCCGACTCCAGGACCATCCATTCCTGATGGCCGGGTCCAGCTCCTGCAGGAGGCGGAATCTCCTTCTACGGACCAGCCAAGGCACAGTGCTCAGGGCCTACCCCGCAACCTCGCCCCCCAACCCCCCACTTGACGTCACTCGGGAACTGCGCCCCCTTTCCCCGAGACCCCGCCCCAGCGTACAAGCCCCGACCACTCCGTGACCTCGCCCCAACAAACCCCGCCCCTTTCCCCATCCCTCTACGACAAATCCCGCCCCACCCCTTCTAACACGACCCGACAAACACCGCCCATTTCCACGCGACTCCGCCCCGCTCCGACAAACCCCGCCCCATTTCCCTCTTTAAGAGGGAAATAAACACCAGACGCTGGAATCCAAGGTACAACACAGCAGAACAAGAAGCACCTGGATAAAATGAGCAGTCAATATTTTCGGGTAATTACCCTTTTTCAGGACGGGTGATACCCGAAACGTTGACGGCTCCTTTCCTCCGGTCGCTGCCTGGCCTGCTGTGTTCTTCCAGCCTCCTGTTTGTCTGTCCAGTCTCTCCTTGCCCAACCAAATCCCGTTCCCCACTACCGTTCCTCCTGCATCCGGGTCACGGCAGGCGGCGGCGGAGGAACTTTCTGGAAACACCCCATCGTGACGTCAAGTAGCGCTGGCGGTTCGTCCAATTGCCGGCCTCAACGCCGGTTGCTAAGCCAAAGTCGGCCAATCCCGAGTCGTCAGGTTCTGGTTTCTATCTCCCAACGCCCCCGTCCTCTTCTAGCTTACCACCCCCCAACATGCTTTTCTTCACTCCCTCGGGTCCAGGCTTCTCTCTTTCGGCCTGGTTTCTTTTTGGGGGTTGTTTGTGGGCTGGAGGAGTGGCAGAGATGTGATCCTCTCTACAGAGCTTTGATTTGCTGTTGGTGGGGAGTCAGGGTTACTCAGAGTCGCCTGAATGAGCCTAGGAAGGGCCGCGTTCGCCTCCTGTTAAGAACTAGGCCCGACGCTTTTAGCCCTTGCTGGTTCTTCCTATGGGTAATTAAAAGCTAGGCCCCAGGATTTTACACAGCAGTTGACCTTTGCTAATTCTTTGAATTGGTAATTAAGAGTCAGGCTTTTAGGCTATTGTTTGACTTTTGTCAATTCTTCCTATTGATCCTGGAGTACCAGGGTCGAGGTCCTTACCAAATCTATAAATAAGTAAGAGCTATGCCTCAGACTTTAGGGCAAATTTTGAGTTTTTTCCAGTTCTACCTAGTGGTAATTAAGAGTTAGGCCTGAGGCTTTTTGGCCACTTTCAGACCTTCTGATTGTTGCAGTTGATGACTCTGTGCTAGGCCTCAGGCTTCAGGTGATCCTTCAGCCTTTCCAGATCCTCAACCGTTCTGGCCACCCAGTGGGTGTAGCGGGCAATGATGTGGTAGCCGTTGACCTTGGCTTCCCAGTGTGCGGTGTCTGAGGATGGGCCGGAGAGCACTTGGGATTGCCCGTCACCCTCCTCCTCGCTGGAGCCTAATGAGGACAGGACGCGGCCCAGGTTGGCATCCAGGCCTTGGAGGCCGGTGATGGCGAGCTGCAGCTGCTGGTGGAGGTGGTGCCGGGTCTCGTTCAGCTCCCGCTGCTCACCCAGGACATGGTCCAGCAGGGTGGCTAAGAGGCGGCAGGCAGTGCGATGTTGGCAGAGGCGGCGAGTGGGCTCCCAGTCTTCGTCATCGGGGGTGGGTGGCATGGGCAGCTGGAGGTGGTCGTCTGGGATCCCTGGAGGGCCATCGCGGAAACCCTGCATGTCAATCTGTCGAAAGGGAAAGAGGACGGGCATCAGGAGCTGGGGAGGCTGCACTCATCTGCGGCGCAGTAGTGACCCACAGTGAGAGTGGGGCCACGTGGAGGCCTCAGTCCTACATACCCTGATTGGAGGCCCAAAATGGAGTGTGAGTCTAAATTTCCCTGCAGAGTGGCTCGATTGATCCTGCATAGGGTGTCAGATTGGCTAACTCAGCACTAGGCCTGCTTTGTAGCCTAGTCCTAAATTTCCGTGCATTAAATCCACTACTGAAATTGGCTAACACAGTTCTAGGCCCTTTTTGCATCCTGAGCCTATAGTTCCCTGCATTGTGGAGATATTGAGGGGGGCAACTGGGAAGGGAGGGGGGACAGTGCTCATCACCGTGAGTGAAATTGGCTAATTGACTAACTCAGCACTATGTCTGAGATGGATCCTAGACCTACATCGTGTCTAGGGTCAGGCTGGGGGAGTGATATGGGTCATTTGATCTACCACTAAGAGTGACATTGGCTCATGAGGCCCAGCATACAGCCCGAGCCAATTTTTCCCTGCTCTGTGTGTGTTGATCTGTGCGGTGGGGACAGTCACTTAATCAATCTGGCACTGTGAGTGAGATTGGCTAACTTAGCACTAGGCACAAGATTCAGTCTGGGCTATATATCCCTGCTCTGTGGGGCTCAACTAACCATAGATCAGCTGTAAGCTCTAGGCCCAGGATCTGAATTCCCGGCATAAATTTCCCTGCGCTGTGGGTCTCGATTCATCCCACATCACTGATTATGAGATCGGTGTGGGAAAAGGCCCGAGAATGGAGCCTCGGAGTCTTCTGCTCTGCGTGTTCACATATCCAGCTGTGAGTGCAAGGGTGCTTAGTTCCACATCGTTCCATGAGATGAACTAGCACTAGCCCCAAGATGAAGCCTGGGTTTACGTTTCAATGCAGCCTCAGGTGGAACCTGTGCCTAAATTCCCTGCGTGGGTCTCCAAAAGTCCCACATTGGGTGAAATTATTACATTTAGAGTAGGCTCAAGATGGAGCATGAGATCTACATTTACCTGCATGGGGCTTGAACAGTTCTACGTCGGGTGAAATTGGTTATTCAGTACTAGGCTGGAGATCAGCCTGACACCTATATTTCCCTATATGGGGCTAGATACACGTGGTGAATTTGGTAAATTCAGTGCTAGGCCCAAGGTGGTGTCTGAGCCCCATATTTCCCTGCATTAGGTTTGAGAATCCTGCACCAGAAGAAATTGGCAAATTCCGTGTTAGGCCTGAAATGGAGCCTAAGATCGACATTTCCCTTGCACAGGGCTCGAACAGCCCCGCACCAGGTGAAATTCAGTACTCGGCCTGAGATGGGGAAATTGTGAGTCTGTGCCAGATGGGAGGATGAGGATTTAATTCCTGGGCAAGATCAAATTCCAAGAATAATATAAATTATCAAGAACAGGTTCAAAGAAACACTGGCAATGAGAGACTAACCTTCATAGCTTAAAATCTGAGAGATACTTACATACAGTTCGAGGAGGGAGGAGGCCTCGTGAGCTAACCAGACTGATAGATTGTAAGATCTCTCAAGGGTCTCATTCACTGAGTCCATATTAGACATCTGCCAAAAAAGAAATAACATTCACAGTGAAATACACTGTCCTTTCCTCCCTATGGGACTAGGTGTCACAGTGAATTAGATACACTGTCCTTTCCCCCTTTGGGATCGGGTGTCACAGTGTAGGGATAGATAATGAAGCAGAAAAGGAGACAGGTGGTGGAGGCGGTATTACTGCACACAGATCAATTTACTCAGTGGGGAGCCTGTTGAAGTGTCAGTGACGGATTTAGACATGGACGGACTATTGCGCATAGAAGGAGGGAGATGAAGGAGGAAATATTGCAATTGACGAGAGCTAATGGTATGGAAAGTGTGAGGGAATTGTAGCTAAAGAGATAGAGACTGTGAAATCAAGATAGAAGGCTAGACATAGGATGGGAGAGCCAGAAAAAGATAGCGAGCGATAAGAGCGAGAGGCAGTGAGGGGATGGGACAGACCATGAGACAGAAAGAGAGGGGAAGGGAGAGACAGAGCAACAGACATAGGAAGACAGCTACTGACAGAAAGAGAGAGGGGGACAGAAAGGAATTGTGAGAGAGATCAAGACAGAAACAAAGTGAGGGATAGATATCGTGAGAGAGACACACACACGAGAAAGAGAAAGGGTCAGATAGAGAGAGAGAGAGACAGCGATCACATACCTGTGTGTATTACTGCAGCCTGTTTGGTGCATTCTCAGCTGCTGATCTCCGTGTGTGAGTCAAATCATGATGAGCTGTGTGATGTGACTGTCGGGGATTGGGTGGCTGGCTGCAGTTTACAGCTCACTGCACCCCCTCCCCCCTTTGCCGTGGCTGGCATGTCTTTGCCAATGGGGACCGGGTATGGACATGGCCAAGCACCTACACTCCAGCCTAGGTAACCTCGGGCCAAGAAGCAGCTGAGGTTTATGTCTGGACAGTTCAGGTCCCTGTCAGAGCAACTTTGCACCATTGTTCACTGGAAGTATGGCAGCCTCCACCAGCTTGGCATCTGGAAGTTCCTTGCCACATGCGTGCTCTGCAAGTACAGCCGAGGACCCTTCTGTCACTGATGGTGAGGGCTCCCAGTGGGGGACAGTGTTAACATTGTTATATTCAGCTCATTAGATCGGACGAATCCAACAGTCCAAGAGCTTGCTGTCCCAGTCTGTGTCAGTCCCGGAGCTTGTTGTCCCAGTCTGTGTCAGTCCCTGAGCTCGCTGTCCCAGTCTGTGTC